GGGGGGGGGGGGGGGGCGGGCGGGGGGGAGGGGGGGGGGAGGGAGACACCGAGAGTGACTGATACATCTGCAGTCTGTGGACTTTAATATAGGTAAGTGGGCTGCTGATGCACCTCATTTAACACGCGGCCGTTACGAAATTGCAAAAGTCAGTAAGGCGTATCTGTATAAACAGTGTTGGGCATCTGCTACACATTATTTGATGCTAATGACATTTTGAGTTATTACAGTAGTCAACTATTCAAATTATGTGAAATTGCTGTTAATGAGGAATTTATTAATATTTGGTCCGTGACGAGCCGAGGACCAGTGTTTCATTGTGATTGTATTACTTGAGCAAATTATAATGTTTATTTTTATTTATTTATTTAAAATAAACATATGTTAAATTGAATATAAATTTATATTATTAATTATAATAATTTATATTATAATAAATTTATATTTATTATATTTGATTATTATTGAAATCATTCAGCGTTAGAAGAATTCTTGGTTATTTTTACGTAACGACTTAATGTATTCATTGTTGATAAATTTAAGGCAATAAATTTCAATATAACTATTTGCATATAAATGTGACTGCGGATATCTAACAATGTATACAATCAAATAAATTTAACAACAAATTTTATAATTGAGATTTATGTAAATAATTTACAGTATAATTATTGTAAACGAAAAATATGGGATATCGGTCATTTTAATGAGATAGAATTATTGAAAAAAATTATATCCTATTTTCAAATGAAAAATAGGTAAACATCGATCATATATATGTATGACTTTTCATTATAAACATATAAATTGAAATATTCCGAATAATGTATCATCAATGCTCAATAAAATCATAAATTTATATTATAAATCCTGTGGCTAAAGTTGAAGAAGAAGTTATTTCGTTTGAAATGACTGTAAATTTTATTACTTTGTCCATTAAAAAAAAAAAAAAAAAAAAAATATAGTAAGTAATTAACCTTCATAAGAATCATAAGAAAATAACATTGTACTTTTATTTCTAAACGGCTTAATTCTTCAAACGATTTTTACTTCGAACTATCTTAGAAAATGCAAATATAAACATCACGTTTGACTAGTAATTTATTTACTTTCTCGAACACGTGCTTTTTAGTGATAAGTATATTATAGAAACAAGAAACTTCACTTTTTATAAATTGCCGGTAATTTCAAAGGAACCGTTAGTCCAAAATATATGATCTAGCATATTTTGTAAATTTGTTTGACTATTAACAGCATAAAATTATACATGTTAAAAATAAATTTTTATTATTAAATTAATAGTCACATATTATGATGATGGCCACAAAGATGACTTTTTTTTTTTATTCGTTATTATATGAAAACAACTTTTCCAATAAAGACTCGAATTTTTGTTATTTTCCTTAATCATATTGATTTTAATTATAATTGTAATAAAGAGTCTTAGATTATAAAAGCAGCCATAGACTATTGGCCAACTTTCTTTTTCACACTCGGCACGAAATAATTCAAATTCATTAGCACATTAACAGGCCAAGCCCGTTATCAGCGCTCTATTAGACTAATAAAATTAAAGTACATCGTCGAGCATACATAAAAACTTTTCCTTTAAAATCAGTCAAGAAAGAGAAATGAAACTTCTTTTTCAAAATATTGAACAAATAATCAATGGAGTCTCCGAGTCTCTCGAGAACAGATAAAACTGGCCAGTCGACACTCTTGGTCCTGTGTACGACCTTACTAGATATCATAGATAGCTGACCTCTCGCAAAGGGTTTTAATAGATTCGCCTTACCTACGTACCGAAGAGCGCGCGGACTCTCGACTTTCCGTGCCCTTGGCCTCAGCCGGGGTCCGTTAACCGACCCAACTACCGTGGCGCGGGGCCCTTCACCCCAGTCGTAGAAAGCGAGCGCCGACTTTTATTGCGCACGCGTGGGCGATTCTTCCGATTATCTTTATTTTTTTCTCTTTGTAATTTTGACTCGAAGCCCAGGACGCTTTTCCTTCCAAAGCCGGTGAAAGCCGATCGGGTGTGCCATGACCGGTGGAATTTGAAATTTAAAACTAGACGATAATGGCCACTTGTTGTTGCCGTGGTATTTTGGCGGATGCGCCGAGATTACGCGCCTTTACGACTCCCCCCCCCCCCCCCCCCCCCCCCCCCCCCCCCCCCCCCCCCCCCCCCCCCCCCCCCCCCCAAACCCCCCCTCGCTTTCTCCCCCCCTCCCCCTCCCCCTCCCCCTCCCCCTCCCATCTGCCCCGCCAATCGCCACACTAATCCCACTGCTCGCCGCCCCGCCATTCGTACCATTTGTGGAGCGACGAGATCATCCCGATAGCCGCTACGCTGCGGGAAAACAAGGGAAATTTACATTTTTCACTTGTCGGACAAACGCATTACTTTTATGAGGCGAGCAGACAAGTGTACGCGATGATCTCGCTTCGGTAAATAATAGAGAATATAATAATGAATAATGATAATAATAATTTTCATTCTT